CTCTTGACAAGGACCAAAGGTGGAAAATTTCCTTTTAGGCTTTCGAAACCACTTGATCCTCCTTACGGGACTTTTAAGTGTCACTTGGCTCAAAGAGCACCCGTGATAAAGCAACCCGCCCCCACCGATGCCTTCATTGACAAGAAAGAACCATAGGCTGATTTGCACCGCGTTTTGCCGCTTCTCCTCAGGAAAGAACGTGGTTTCTTTCTTTGCGGTTTTATGTGTTGCCTACTCAATGGCTTTAAGTGAAAGAGACCGCTTCTTTACCAACGTCCGTCGCGATACGGAGAGCTTCCGTGGCTGATCCTTCCGCCCTAGCGCCGTGGGCCCATAACCTGTTGAAACACAGCTTTGTTGGAAGTGTTATTCAATCAATCACTTCCAACAACGCTGTGTTTCAACAGAGATCCGGCCGACAAGAGCGACCACCCATGGGTCTACACTGGCACGGCCCGATTTTGAGCGAATGGACGCAACATGCAAGGGTCAATTTGGGTAGGGAGTCCTCAACTAATGCGGCAACGTTAGGTTCCGCAGCCCACAGAGGACGCACTTTTTGGACTAACTTAGCGCCGAGGCCCTTGACTAGGGCCCGTTATGAAGGGTAGGACTGCGGGCGTTCTCTCCCAACAAGGTTGAGGAGAGGGACGTATTGAAGTCCTTAAGCACGATGTAGTTGGTGGCTGAAGGGTGACCAAATGGTTCGAGACTACTTTTTAATGAACGGTGCCGGTGAGCCCATCCAAGTTTGACCCACCCTTGTGTCGCCACGCCCGGTTTTGTAGTTTGCCTTTCAATTGCAAGAGCCCGATCGCCTAAATCCGGGCATGGGGTATGACCGCAGCAAACTGCGATTGGGATAAATCACATCGTCAATGAACGAGAGCGCATGATGGGACACATCCCGAGGTCAAGAGCAACCGCAAGTTTGACCGAAACAACCGTTGGAAGTTGGTGGAAGCAACAAGTACACGACTGTGGGCTCTTATCAGTCGTGCAAGGATCATCAACCTTAAAGTGGGCGTCGGGGTATAAAACCCGCACTTGAGCAACAGATTTTGATCTCCAGCTGTGCACATTTTGGCGCGACTTGACCAAAGTGGCAAGCGCGCTCGCCTTGAGGTCGGAAGCTGCGGCCCGATGCGGGTTCGAATCCAACGAATTTGGCATTTTTGCTCTCTTTTGCCCCTTCCTTTTTGCGACGTTTTGCGGCTGACGTAGGCTGATGTCAAAGCGCGGGAACCGCGGTACCTACTGGTACGATACCTGCGGACAGCCTCCGGTCCCTGCCGGGAGCCATGCTTCGGTCGGTACCGCATTCGGCTGGTCCTTGAAAGGTCCCGTACCGTGTCGATCCTCAGACAGATTCTGACCGTCCGATAAGTTTCACTCAGGTGAATTTACCGTTTGATCACAATGCAAGCGCGCTTGCTACGCCCACTTTAATGAGAAGTACTGTTCGAATTTGGTAATTATTAGTCAACCGAATTACTGTGTGATTAGGGTTCGACCTGAGTTAGGGGTTGAACTAGTGAGCGCCGCCGTGCGTGCATGGCGTTTAGAAGGCTAACTCGTTCAGTGGTTTGGAAGTTAGGCGGTTGAGAGTACGTGACCGTCAGTGTAAGCCTTAGATGAGATATCGAAGGCTAAAATTGAGTGTGTTATGAGCTAGGCTAGTGAGCCTAGTAGTGTGTTACTTTGGCTAGCGAGCCTAATAGGCTAGTGGGCCTAGTGGAACGGGAGAGATTCGTAGGACTTATGGTGGTGAAAACCACATTGTGATACATCATATTAAAGGAAAATTGTCGAGAAGGAAGCCGCTTGTGAGGCGCTTCGTGTGACCCCCTTAGGCTGCATGGCTGCCATTAATGAGTGATGAGCATGGGTGCCGGGCAGCGCAATAAGACTCGGTGACGAGTATCTCAAGTACACTACGACTCCCTCACCATGAGCTTCAATAGTTATGTTCCCAAAATGCTTGGTTGTGAGGAGTGCGCGTGTCTTCAAATTCTGATCGTCTACAGGGCGATGTTTGAAAGTGTGCGCCCGTGAGCCTGTGAGGAAAAGGAGCGGAGGATTTGGCTTCTTTGTCTTGAAGGGATCGTGTAGTTGAGATGGCGGGAGACAAGTTGTCGATTCCGCAAATGTGGTGAGATTCGGTCAACATGGAAGGCCAAGTTCCGTGGGCTTCTTGCGCACAAGGGATGGCTGTGTGCATTGAATCAGCATCAACCCCCTTGATTGAGGGTGAATCCGGGGCAGCAAAAGCGTGGAATAATTAAGTCGAGAACTTTGAAAAGAGGACCAATGCGCGCATGATTCAGCTCACGAGGAAGCTGTCGGGTTTCAGGTTAATCAAAGGGAAGACCATTGCATAGTACCTAGGGGAATCTTGGGAGCTCAAGCAAGATTTGGAGGAACGGGACAAATCGTCTCAGAGTGTGAGCTGGCCGTGCACGCCTGGGAGGGTTTGCCGGGGGAGTATGCCACTCTTCTGGAAGTTTCGGAGCTCGGAGAGGAAGAGCTAACCCTAGATGAGATCCAGCCAAAGCTAATGCAGAGAGAGCTGAAGCTAAAGTTGAGGGCCGAAGCGGGGACTTCGGTAGAGATGGACCGGTGGCGTATGCCGCCAAGCATATGGGCTTCTCAAGCTCAGAGAAGGGCGGGGGATGCTCAAACGAGTTGGGAAGAAGCTCGGAGGTGAGAGGCGGCGGAAGCTCAAACCCGCCAATGTTCTGTTGTTGTGACAAAGTGGGCCACAAGAAGGCAAAGTTCAGGTTGCGCGATGCGGAGTGTCGCAAGTGCGGCAAGAGGGGCCACACATAGGCAGGGTGTAGGTAGAGAGCGCGCGCAAGTGGCCGCGCAGAGGATAAAGAGTTTGCGGGGGATGCAAACGGAGTAGCGTTTACGGCGTGAGACGACGACGGGGATGTGCGCAAAGGGGTGTGGATTGTCGACTCGGACAGCCACCCAGCACGTCACGGCCGATCGGAGCCAATTCACGAGCTACAAAGAGCTCGTGCGTGACGAGAAAATCGTGGGGATCTGTGGTGAGTCTCTGATTGCAGTAGGCCGTGAGAAGTGGAACTTATGTATAAGACCCTGAGCACTGTGAGTACGGTAACTTTGAGGAAGGCAGTCAAACGTGGAGGACTGTAAGAGATTGAGACCGTGGAGAACCAGAAAGCATTACTTGCAAGGGGATCGGTCAAGAAGGACCGGGTGTGCGCCACGGCAAAGAGGCCGATAAGAGCGGAAGGCGTGGTGACAAGACGATGATGGTCGTGGAGATCGACCTAGACGAGTCAGACGACGACAATGAGAGCGTCGAACGAGAGTGGGGAACTTTTGGGGGCGGATGAGGAGCGCGCACTGGTTCAAAAATGGTCGAATAATAGGCGGAGTTTAAAGTGATGTGCAAGAGCGTCGCGCCTGCGCCCGCAACGGACCACAGTCGCGCCGCGCGCTCGATTTCAGGAAAAGGCCAAAATGGGCCGATTGTAGAAACGATGCGCGAAGTCGTGGAGGAGGCCACGAAGATGGGAAAATGCAAGAAGAGCCCACAGACGGCGGTAGAAGAGCAAGCCCGCCGGTTTGGAACGAACAACGGAGAAGCCTAACGTGGAGTACCACGAGTTGGAAAGGTATCCCACACGTGAGTGTGACGGGAGCCCGCAGAGTGATATCGGGCAAATGTGGGAGCAGCAACCAAAGCCGTGGATGCCGAAGAGCCGGAGCACAGAGTGGAAAAGACGTCGCTAGAGAAGAGCGACGATGGCGAGGGTGGAGGCGTGTGGATGACGCCAAAGGCGAAAAAGACAGCCCGCAAGAAGAGCATGACGACTTGGAGGCTTAGACTAAGTGGTCTGAGTGAGAGTGTTAGCTAAATTTCGCTGATAGTCAGCCGAATTGCAATGTGATTAAGGTTCGATCCGAATTAGGGTTTGAAATAGTGAGCGCCAGCGTGCGTGCCGGCGCTTAGACGATTAACCCGTTAGGCGGTTTAGAGGTTAGGCGAATAGGAGCGACCGTCGCAATGTAAGCCGTAGATGAGATATCGAAGGCTACGATGTGAGTGTGATTGTGAGCTAGGTAGGCTAGTGAGCCTAGTAGTTTGTGACTTAGGCAACAAGGGTGTTCAGATGGACGATCCTCATGTGAGGACGCTTCAACTTAACCTAATTGGCGCGTTGCCATCTTCACTTGAGCGTCAAAGCAAAGCTCGGAGGGAAACTTGAAATGGTAATAGGTCAAACACCCAACACTTTTCGAGAATGAAATACTAGTTCCTAGCCGTAGCGATGAAATTTAGAGAGATGGGGAGAGAAGCCGGAGGTCTCGGTGCGCGATTTGCTTCTCGGTCCGAAGAACGAGCGGTATTTGAGAAAGGGGCAAGGACGGATCCCACAAAGAGAATTCATAAGAGCGACACCGCGAGTGCGACCTGATCAGCAACAGTACTAAAGGAGGGAGCGGTGAGAGGAGCGGTTCAGAAGGGGTGCGGCCCTTTGCAAAGGAGGATGAGAGATACCTGATGCCGCAGGCGCAAACGGCAAGAAGAGTCGGTAAGGGGTTAAGCCGGTTCGGGCGAAGGGAAGGGAGCAACCAGGTCGAGTGGGGTGACGAGCAAATTTGGCTCGGGCTGTTGGGCCGTTGGAGCAACGAGAGGCGGTGAAGGGCTTTTCAAGGAGATACTGAACATGCCAATCTGGTCCATTTGGCATTTACCATCTAAGCACCATGGCAATTCAGAGGGGCAAAAGTTCGAAGTGGAGTTCACTAACGACAAAACCATCCAAAGCCCTTCCCGACGATAATCCCCTACACGACGGAATTGCTGAAGGCCTCTTTATGACCAAAGGAGACAAGCGATACACGGCCTAAAGGAGAAAAGCGATACACGGTCTAAACGGAGCTGCATGACCAGGTTCAGTAGGGGTCGTATAACATTCTTTCCTTTCAGGGGGAAGACCCAGAGGCAAAGGATCTTGGACACATCAGAAAACTCATGAATCAGATCGGACTTCCACAACTCTTTTAGAACAGTATCGTTGAGGTCCTTACAGAAGGAGTACGACGTCCTCGTAGTCGCAGATGCAACCATTGACGACGTTGACACAAAATCTTCGTCAGGTGCGTTAAGCAGCTTGATGACAGCGAGGAACACCCGTTGCTTCTTTCGTAAAGCACGCTTCACTTGCATTGCACTCAAGCACATGCGATTTATATGCAATTTTACGATTCCGGAACTAGTCGGTCCAGACCGCAATGCATTGGCGGATGCACCGCCAATTGACCGATATGTTGAAGTTCAAGATCGCGGTCTACGGACTCCAAACCGCGGTTTGGAGAGGCCGAAACCGCCGTTTGATGGCAGGTAAATGGGGCGAAATAAAATCTCAAAGTTCGATCGTTCGCCGTTTCGTTTCGTTCTATGGAAACATGGTGTAACCTGAGATGAGGCTCCCCTCATCGAGTGTAACAAGCTTCAACGAGTAGCTCGATCTTTCATCGATGCAAAGTAAAGTTAGAAGAACCCAAAGTTAGACATCTTTTCCATTCGATTGGGACGTCGAAACGAAGGTCCGGTCTCCCGCGATTTAAAGTGGGCGTCGGGTTATAAAACCCCCTCTTTCGCGACCATTTTTGACGTCCGGCACTGCAAATTTTGACTACTTGACAAAATGGCAAGCGCGCTCGCCTTGTGATCCAAAGTCACGGGCTGGTCGCGGGTCGAATCCCAAACTTTTGACATTTTGCTCTCTTTCGCCGCTTCCTTTTTGGGACCCTTCCGCAGCTGACGCAGAGTGACGTCAACATCTAGAGACCGCGGTACCAGTTGGTACGATACCTTTGGACGGCATCCGGTCCCTGCCTGGAGCCCGAACTCGGTCGGTACCGCATTCGGCTGGTCCTTCAAAGGTCCCGTACCGTGGTGATTTCAAATAGATCCTGGGCCGTTCGATAAATTTCACTCGGTCTGAAGTACCGTTCGATCAAAAGTGAGCTTGTGAGCCCTACGCCCACTTTAATATGCCGCGTGCGTATTCAAACCATAGCGGCATGTTTCATCGACCCGCCGAGGGCTTAATTTTGATGAATATATGACCCCGTCTAGCAGACGCATCGAAAAGAGTCTGAGCTCAACATCGACTGCTGCCGCGATCTCAAGCAGTGAAAACCGAGATGTGTTCCCGGTCACTCCGCGATGCAACCGCGGTCTATACCGTCGACTCCCCGGTCTTCAAAACTGCATATAAATTGCCTGTGAGAAAGACAAAGGTTTAGCATCGAGTATTGATTCCTAAGTTCTACGAGCAAACTTGAGAACCGTAACCCTACGTCTCCCCTTCTTCATAAGAACCATCGTTCTGTCGAAATCCAAAATCCACTTCTGGAAAGTCATCGACTGCTGATCTAGAATGAAGTTAACAACATGAAGCAGAGGCAGGACGACACATCGAAAAGTCTGAGGTGGTAAGACCCAAGCGTGAGATAGACATTTGCCTCTTCTTTAGCTTCTACATCTGGTCGAACCCCATACGTAAAGAACGATTTGATGGCAGCACGGACATTCCAGTTTGCTTGGGATAGAACTCAGAGACAAAGTTCTTGGAGGCTCGGCTGTTGAACAGAATGTTGGCATCAACACTTGTAGCCTTCCCTAAAAACAACATCTTCAAGTGCTTGTCGGGAATCTGACTGAATACAGCAAGTATGGATTACAAAGCAAATGAACCAACCAGAATGGCCAGAAGCTCATTATTGTAGGGGCAAGATACGGTACACGGGATGCAGCATTGGAGAGTTCAGTCTTCGAAGTCCTCTCAAAGTGGGGACGGCGAACGACGCCGTGATAAACATGAATGCTGTCCAACCTTTCAGCAAGGCAGGGGAAAACTCAGAATAAGAAGGGAGCAACAAATAAGCAGAAGTGTTTTCCAGAGCAGATTCATATCTTGACTAGAAATATAGCAACTTGTTTCGCAGATCAGACTGCGCGACTGTATTAGGCTAGATGTGCTTTCCAACCCGATGTTAAACGAATGGGATTGTGAACCCCGTTCCGTGGAGATAAACTGAGATGCAAATTGAACTTCAAGATCAATTGTTTTGCCACACAGAGCAATTACTTGTTTGAAGTCCCCAAAGACATTGTCGCTTTCTTCAGCATAGTGTTGTTCGTCTTCAGATACTGTTATGCTTACACTGGAAGCTAGGTGAAATCTTTCTTCTTGCTCCAATCCTTCTTATCCTTTCAGCTATCTGACGCGGAGGGCAAGTAACGCTCAAGTGCTTAGGGGTTTGACAAATGTAACGAACCATTTCTACGAACATACTAAACCTTTCGTTCTGCCGACAACCTAGGAAACTTGCCAGAGTTCCCCTCTCTAGAGCCTGACCCAGATGCTAGTCCCTTGGACCTGCCAGAATGGTTAGGAGACATAGCCTCGCGCTTGCCGTCAACCTTCACAGTCGGAGGTTCGTTAGAGCCCCCAACACTAGATTGTCCAGCCGTGCCTGAATGGTAGGCCACAGAAGGATGCAAGAAGTGACCAGATCAGATAGAGATGTCCAACGCTGATCAGATGGGCTAACTCTTGCGAACTCCCCAATGTCAATTTGAATACCAAATCTGTACCTTTTCAAGCATAACCTGCTCATCGTGGATTCAATCCGCAAGATCAGCCATGGCCTGCTCAAAAGCAACATTGTATAGGGATGTCCACACTGTGAATTTCCTCAATTTATTCCACGTGGACATCCCAACAAAACTGAATCTTATTCTTGAGACCATAGCCAGAAGGATTTCACAAAGCTTCATCATTTAGACGCAGATCGTACTTGCTCAAGCAGAAAGAACGAGGCTTGCCCCCAAAATAGAAGCTTGCAATCCGTTGATAGTTCTCATCAGCACAGTCAGCCAGGTAGCTCCCAAGCACCTGAAGCCACTTGCGGATATCCAAATCCTTCTCCGTGTACTCAAACGAAGGGGAAGGTTTGAGCCAAGAGCATTCTCAGCGTGCAAATTCACCTCATTGGCTTGTGTAGCAAAGGCAACGGCCGCAGCAGCCCGAGCTGCAGCAATTTCAGCCTTGGAACCCTGCAGGATGTTGATGCAACCGCTCCAACAAATAGGCCTGCTGTCCTTTCTTGACCTTTGCGGTTCACAGTAACTACACCAGCCTGTTCAGAGTTGTTCAGATGCTCACGCTCAAGATCAAGCCTCTCAGCGTCAATAGCAAGGTCAGCCCATATACCCTGAAACTGCGGGGCAGTCTCGATGCACGTCTCGATGATGTTAATCACGCCGCCTGATCTTAAGGGGCGGCCCCAAGCCTAAGGCCTTTCGCCATTGGGATAATATAGACCTGCAAAGAGTTAGATACCGAAGCGATTAGCGGAGTAGATTCCTCAACAACAATTGCGGTTGTCAATTGCAAAGCTGGTGTCGATATAGATGCAGATGTGGATGCAAATCAGATGCAAGTGCAAATAGAGGAGCCAAGGCCGACGAAGCAGACGTGACCGGACTATACAATGGAACTAATCACTATTAGAACACTCCTCGTCCCCAAACGTGACCAGTTCCAACATTCTAAGTCTGTTCACAAACGAG